AATTTAGGCTGTAATGGTTGTATTGATGTATAGCAACTTGAAATGCTCCCAAAAATGACACCACAGCATGTAAAAATATAATATAAGCTCTGGCGGACTTGGTTCTATGGTAGGTCTTAAAGGGTTAAAACAGAAAGAGCTGGTAGGAAGTCTGCCACAGACACCAGCAGCACCGGTTTCAGCTTATAGGTGAGCGTCAGGCTTCACACATTAATATTCACAATGCTCGACGCATGTTTTGCCTTCCACTAATTAATTATGTTTACAGTCTTTAATTTACCTTGTGAAACAGAGCGAGGGCGATCTAAGCACAGTGATTAATAGCATTCATTTTATCTACCTATCTATGTTTCTGTCCGTCTGTGCATCAGCACAACAATCACGCTCACAGTGGTCTTCTGTAAAGTAGTGGGTTTATTTCCTTTTGTCCCATTGGCTTTCCCTGTGGATATCACCATGACAACCCACCTAAAATGAGGCGAAGGTGTAATTTACGAAGTAATAATATTTTTTTGCAAAAAACAAAAAACAAAAACCAGTCGTGATTTACCCCTGCAATACATGATTAAATTGGCTCACATATCTTTCAAAATAATTTAGTGAATTCTGGTGGGGTTGAAAGGATGTGTATGTATCAGCGACAGAATAACAATTCACACCCAGCTCAGCCGCACGCTCTCCTCAAAGGTTTCCCGACGATTGTTGGAATTACTCGGGGCCGAACCGAAGAGCAGAGATTCGGTTTTAGAAATGCGATGGGAGGGTGAAAGTTGCAACACGCTCGCCTGTCCCTACGCTGCTCTTCGTGCACCATTGTTGGTTTGAAATTATTATCAGCAGTTAATCAGGAAATTCCCTTTCCTGGGAGCTTTTTGGGAAGTTTGTTTAATTTAATTGTCACAGTTTCACAGTGTGCGGATGTTGCTGTGTGAGTGATCGTGTTTTGTAGACGTATAAGTAGGTCATGTCGACCTTATGCAACAAAAATTAAACTTCAGTTATTTTCTCTTCCATTGCATTATAGTAAAAGCTGCTTGTTCAGTGGCAAAAGTGGCAAACAAGCTCGAGAATTCCCGTTTCTGTCACAGACCCTGAAACCACACGAGTTTCTCCTCGATGCTTAAAACGTTCAAAGTACTTGAGATTTCTCAAGGGCAGCAAGAAAGGGCCTGTTATTGTACCACGTGAAATGAAAAGAGAAGGGTTTTAAAAGCTGTCACACCAAAGTCAGTGGAGAGAAATAATCAAGGTGTTTTGAAAATATAAAGGCGAGAAGTAAAAGCCTGCAGCGTAATGTGAACCAGGACCTGCAAGGGCAGGACCCGGCTCCTCCCAGTGCTCCGGCACCACCTATTTGACCCATTTAGCCTTTTCTTGTAACCATAACAGCCTGTTTTATAACATTAAGATGCTGCTATCTTTATATTTTCCACGTTGTTCTCTATTTTCTGCTCCAGTGTCTTACTGACCAGCATTAGGGCAAGTAGATAAGAAGATAACTATCTAACAGGTAAATCCAATCAGGTAAACTATAAATCCTGTTATCATAAGCCCGGCCTTTAAAGGCACACACGCTGTATCTCAGACTAATCGTTAGCCATTCATCCTGCCCATTCCTTAGTTGTCTTAAAAATAAAAAGAGAATACTGTTAGATGAGTAAACCGTTTTTTTTTCCCTGTTTGAATACTCGTTCGTGTCGGTTGTGTCCGTGGAAAAAGAATAGCACCCCACTGCGTCGCCATGCTCCAGTCCCCTGATCACTTAATTTGGCATTTAGCTACGAGCCAGCCTTTGAAAACATTGGCCCATACCTAATTTGTTAACAGAGACAAATCAGTTGTTGCATAATTACTTTCTGAAATGCTAAGTTTTCACACTTTCCAATTTGCTAATTGTTGAAGCAAAACGGTAAAGGCTAAAGGGCTGGATTTTTAAAGTTTCCTTTTATCTCGTGCGTCTAAACCAACCTCTGTTGGTTTTGTCTTTCTACCTCCTGTGTGATGTCATCCTGGTTGTTTGTGGCAGACTGGTTGTTTGTGGAATCTGGCTCCCCGCGGAGCCAGGCAGGCGTGGGGCCTGTGTACGAAGGCCCACCATGCTGTCATGTCTCTTTCATCGCCAGCCAGGCTTGGCCAATAAGGAGATAAGGAGACAATGACTGGGAGAGCAAGCAGTGGCAAGGT